CATTTTCAAACACTCTTGCCCAGGACAGCTGTTCTAGACTTATGCTGTATGTTTCCCAGACTGGCATGAAAGATCATTTCACTAATGTGTTAGTTTCTGCTCAGAGACCTGGCAACTGAGAGTTTAGAATCTTTCATTGCAGTTCAAACTTCTGATTTGATCTCATATTGTATAATTGTAGTGAAATATCTTGGTATTTGGGGGATTTAGTCACTTCAAATAAGCATTCATTTCTTTTCTTAGTGCGTATTCTCCTCGCTGTACCCTTTTGAATTTAGATGGCACTCAGTGCTAACATAGGCTGGAATCAGGGGCTTGTGCCTCTAGTGCTGCCCAAAGCCTGACCTGTCTATGTTATGCAAGAAATGTTTGTTAGATGCAGGAGTTTTCTGCTGATCCGTGCAGCTGGTGTTGAGTTTTAACAGTTAAGGCCCCTATTCCCTTCCCCCTTTCTGAAATGTTTGTGATCTGCCGCTGCCAGAGCGTTTTTAATATGCATGGAGCATAGAGTCTGGTACTGGAGGAGATTGGATCACAGTTTGAATCAGAAGCAGCATGGACTGCTGATCTGTTCCATTTTCTAAAAATACACTTTGTAAAGTATACACATACACAGCACTGTCATGATTTCATGTTTTGGGGTTTGGCCCCACTGCTGCACGTGAAAGCTACAAGGTCTTTCCTCGAAATTCAGGCCCGTGTTTCCAAGCAAGAGTGTTGACTTTTTAAAGAAGAGAGTTTCCTCATCCTTTACACAAATGCATATTTCCCTGCTTACTGTCTTCCCAGCTCTTCTACCCGCCTCACCTAAATGCAAGAAATGCCTCTGTGGCCTCAGGAACAGTCAGGTAGACTTTGAATCTGTATATTTTCAGGAATGTGTTTCCAAGTTAGCAATTTGAAATCTTCATCTGCTTTTAGTGAAACACTCTTGTTTCTATTTGTCACCTTTCTATGAGAAGGAAGGAGGGTGACATTGGCTCTTCCATACTGAAAACGGAGAGGAATCCTGTTTTAGGAGAAGCCTTTTGCAGTGTAGCATGTGAAGTTGGGAAGACAGCGAACAGATATGAGTAGTTCTCTGTATTTCTGTCTTGGTAAATGTGGTTTCTGAGCTTTTTAGGAACAGTTGACTTCTTCCTCCATGTTCGCAAACTGCAACTTGGCTTTCAAGAAACTCGTGGCACTGAGGTGCTTTTTTGTACTTGGTCAGTAGCTGGCATTAAACAGAATTGGTGGTTTGTGCTCATGCCGGTCTTACTAATCAAAAATCTGTAGTTAAAGGGACAACAAGAAAAAAGGCAGTAAATAGATTTTTTAAAATGTTTAAATTTGGGAAATGGTAGGAAAGGACTCTCAAAATATTTAATTATGTTCTAGCACATAATGAGCTTTTAATTATTATTTAGATGTTATAAATTATTATTTAGATGTTATTATTATAAAGATGTTCTTTGGGAAAAAGGTGGGGCTCTTCCCTGAACCACAGAGTAGAAAAAAATGATCCAGTGAGTGTTTTCGTTCTCCCAATGATGATACTGTCAAGAACTGTGAAGGGTCTGAAATTTTACCCTGCTTGTGAGCCACTGAATTAGCCTACCATCGTTTCCGGGATGCTGGCAGAAGGCGTGGGACTCGCGGTTGGAGCCAGCAGCCTCTACTCATCACAGCAATGAGAGTATCAGTGTTCTCTTGTGCCAGTTCCCTGAGTCCCAGTTCTTACAAGGCAATGCAGCTTGGGCCAGGTCACACCTGCATGCCTCAAGAGAGGAACCTGGAGCTTAGAAAACCCAGATCTTGTATGATGGGTAAAGCTCACTCTTTGAGAGAGAGAGGTGGAGAAAGAGAGAGATAGATATGCCTTAGGGCTCAGTTCTCTCTTGGAGCCCAGGGTGAGAAAAAAGCTGTTCGTCCTTTGCTTATGGGCTGCCATTCCAAAATGCCTATGTTCCTTCAAAATATTTTAAATAAAAGAAGGGAAAGAGAATATCAGAAATTCTTTTTGGAAACTAATACTTTACTGTGTTTTGAGAAAATGTAGGTATTACATTTTAAATAATATTTAAAAAATTTTTCAAATCTTCTTATTAAAAAGTTACCCAAAGTTTGGAAAGTAGGAGATGGTTACATAACAAAGCTCATGTTTACGTTTTTTGTTTTTTTTTTTTTTTTTTTTGGCCTTCCAAAAAGTATGGACAGCTTGCTTTTGGGAGACACTATGAAACATGCTATCATCTGATGTGTACTGGCTTGAGATGTGAACTCATTACATGACTTAAGTATATATACTCACTTCTTGCCTCATCCCTGATCCTCCCTGGCTGACAAGCCTCTGAAAAATTTCCTCTATCCAAGCACCTGCTCTGCTGCTTCCCAAACCTTATTTGGCTGCACAGGTCTCTTCTTTCACAGGCTTCCAGTTGTCCACACGTCTCATTGCCTCATCTCCACAGAGACTGTCTCCAGTCTCGCATGTTGCTCCGTCCTGTGACTATTCCAGCTCACAGTGTGTCTGCCCATGTGGGGTTCTGAAATCAAAGGAGTCACCTTGTAGAGGCTTCTGAGGTACACCCAGGACGTCACATACAGAAACTTAAGTCTACATGGGAAGTCTGGGAGGTAATCTTGGTGAACCGGTTAGTGCTGGATCACATAGCACATGTGTGTGTTAAACAGCGACAGAAAGATCACAAAAAACAGAAAAGATGAATGTGGAGAACTTGACCCTGGACAAGGACTGCTGATTCTATGTTCCTGTTTGGGATGAGATGGAGAAAGCCAGGGTGCGGGACAGGCGGGGCTTTCTGTTTTGTATCTGTCATTGCAGTGGTTCTTTCACTTTCTAAAAACCAAGGGGGTATTTTCCCTTTACACGCACGCGTGTGCGCGCACACAGCCCCCCCCCCAACACGACACATGGAGGTTTTCTTTTTTAAAGAAAGATGTGAGGATTAAGCAGACAATAGCTCTACAATTTATGCTCTTTATTTTTCAAGGGCCACATAAATATAGTCACATAGTTACTTTATCTTCTTCCTGTAACTGTCCTCCCTCTAGGCAGATGGATGGCAGTCATTGACGATTTATGACTCTGAAGAGCTGAAGGGGGGTGTGGCAAAACATCTCATCTTCCTCCACCGCCACCCTCCAAGCACGTTGAATAATTGCTGGGAGATAACTTGGCAATTGTTTGGCTAACTGTGACCTTAATTCCCTGCCAGGGCTTCACTCAACACCTACCTCTCCTTTCCCTTCCTGATCAGTAAGACAACATTCAACGTTCCTTTTCTGCTAAAAAAAAAAAACAAAAAACAAAAAACAAAAAAAAACGGAGTGACTTTTGTGACTGGTGATACAGATCACTTTAAGATTTATAAGGTATCTTGCCTTGGGATAAAATAGGTTTTATGACTCCCAGATGAATGGCTGGACAGGGGAATTGTAAATAAGCTCTTTGAAGAATAATTTTTTTTTTAATGACCCCCTTGGTTTACTGACCAAAGCATAGGAAAGCTTCAGTGTATTAAATACCTACCAAGTCAGTTATGCGCCAGATTTGTAAAATCCAGTTTTGGTTTTAGAACTTTCTAATTTGGTTGCTCAGATGTTGGCTGATGGCTCCATGTCCCTGCCACTCTGCCTGGCTTCGTGAGATCTGGAAAAAGAGTTAAAGATCTTCCTGCAAGAGGCAGTAGAAATACTTGAAGCCATCGGAGAACAACCAGTGTCAACTTGCCCTTTCATATATTGGTGTCGCAGGCCTCCAGGGAAGGTGTATGGGTTAGAGAGGCCACAGGAGGAGTATTGGGGGAGGTGGAACTGGAGCTGAGCCAAGGAAAGGCAAGATTAGAGCAGGCAGAGGAGGGCGGGGAGCTTGAGAGGAAAGGCAAAGCTTGAGGCAGAGGTGGGAGTGCCAGGAAGCAGAGCTGTGGCAGACAGGAGGCTGCCGGGGCGGGGTGGCCCCTGGTAGGCGGGCAGGTGGAAGAGCATCGGATATGGGGAGACAGGTGGGTAAACTTGGCCCTAGGTTGCTGAGTGTCGCTGTGTTGGAGGATTGCACCTGGGGGCTGTCCAGGAGGCCATGCTGGTGCTGAAGAACTCAGTGCCAGTTCTCTGGCAGGGGAAACAGTCTAAGCGTGCTGAGGAATGTGGGTCTCGGGAAACTGCTCGTGGAAACTGGTGTACTGGTTTAGCGGAAGACGGCGGGCATCTGAGGTGAAGAGCACCTGGGTGCCGCAGACAGGGAACACGTGTGTGTTCAAAATGTCACTGAATGAAATGAGACGCTTCTCAAGGGAACATCATATACCATAGTCACAAACCTCCAGTTCTGAGGTCACTGAAGAATAATTCAGATCAACACGGATCAACTACGTGAACTCTCCCTCTGTGCTTAGCGGCCATTCCAGGTGTCTGTTCACTGACCTGTTTACATTAACTTTAAACAAAATGGAAATATTAAGAAATGGTCTGGTCACTAGAAGTTTTTGCTGTTCATTTCTAGTCTTTGGCCCTCTCTAGAGGAAGCCTGAATCCAGTGGCATTTTATTCTGCACGGCCGTACGTGTAGGAGCAGGTGAAAGATCTTTAAATGTTTAGCTGATCTTTTGCAGCTGCCGGTCACGTGCTTGATGCTAGATTCTTGTGATTTTCCTTATAATTAGAAAAAATGAATACCTTGAATATCCCGCTACTCCTGTGAGCAATTAGATTCTGGTTTTCTAATTAGTGAACTCATAGGGTGCTAGTAGGTTGGACAGATTGGAGAACCCGGAGAAGGACAGTAAGACAGCTTGAGTTTGGGGTTGTGGCTGGTTTCTGGGTTGTTGCTATCCATAGTTTGGGCTGCAGCCCCAGCAGGATGCAGAGAGGACTCAGTCCCTACTGGTCAGGAGTGATAGGGGAATTAGTGACCTAGTCATCTGGGATTGGGATGTCACGCATTTGATGTTCTGTGGCCTTTCTGCTATTAATCCTGTCCTTCAAACTCTTACCTTTAGCCCAGGTCAGACCCGATCGTCTATGGTCCAGTGGCTTAATCCACAGTCTCCAACCACAACAAGCTCCAACCCAGCTGTGACACCTCCTTCACCCGGGTCATCCGCTTTCCTCTTTTCTCCTCCTGCTACTGTAGTGGACAAGCCACCTGAAAGGTACGTGGTTTGGAGTGGAATGTGGAATACGGTGGCAGCACACACAGGGGGCTTGACGAACCTGAGCAGGTTCTTGTGTTCTCTGCTGGCAGAGGCTTACCCAGATACCCCCAGCATCCCAGACTTCATGGACAGCACTTACCACCTTGTATCGGGGCGTGCCTCACCCAGTTCAGTAGCAAATTCTTTGGAGGATTTGCCTTACATGAGACCTGCTTGAACGTACTCTGTCGTGCTGGTTGTGCATTTATGAAGAAGTTCTCATTTTGGAAGAACTTCTTGTTCATGAGTATAAAGCACATTCTTTGTTTTAAAGGTAGGCAAGCTGGCACTGGAAACATTCGCTTCCATGGCATCCAGTGGCCAGGTCCATAGAGGACAGAGCTGCTGGCCTCCAGCAGGCTCTTCCACCTGTGGTGGCTCAGGGGCTTCTTCCTGTCAGTGGCTTCCCCCATGCCAGTGAGATGAGGCATTTCCTTCGGATTTGATTAGACTGGCTAAAAGCATGGTTTCCATCCTCTTCACGCACGGACACAGAGGTTGCTTTAACGAATGGTGAGAAGCTGGGCCTGGTGTGCCGGCACGGTGTAAATACAGAGCACTCAGGCAAGAGCAACAAGCCCCTTCCAGAGCGGTGGCTGCCTGGGGTGGATCTGGGCTCGTGGTTTCCCACCTGTGGAGTGTGGGTGTGCCGCCTCGTTCTGCCGGCTGGCCGTGTGTCTCCAGGTGCGTGTGCTTTTCCTAACACACCAACTGAAGTGCTTGGAAATAAACATGTCCTGTGGTTCTAACAGTGCTGAATGGTAGGAAAGGGCATCCCACCAGGTAGGGAGGAGAATTAGGTGAAGTGGTTCAGTGACAGCTCCTCGGGCTCCCTGAGGAAAGGCTTGAATTTGAAACCCATCGTTTACTTGAAAATCAAGTGCTATTCTTAGCCTCATGTTCACTTCCATGTTAATTTCTTTTTCGGGAGGAGTTGCCCTACTGGTGACATCAGTGAGATTTGGGGAAGGGGGTTGGGGGTGAGGTTTCTCTCTGTTTTCCACATTTTCATTGGTGTCTTGTGTGTTTTCTTTCTTTTCAGTGTCAGCAGTCGGAAGGCTCGAGCCGTGTATCCGTGTGAAGCAGAACACAGTTCGGAATTATCTTTTGAAATAGGAGCAATTTTTGAGGATGGTAAGTGTTAGTGGGAGCCTCGTCTATTAATCCTGTCCGCCGGATCACTAACGTCTGCAGCATGGAGGGAGCAGTCAGCGATGGTGCTGTTGTTGGGAGGGTGAGTGTCCCGCTTGATGCTTTGGACTGGGTTAAGCTGCTGTGTTCGGCTCCTAGGCCCCAATACCAGGGGCCTGTCGTCGATGGCTGGAATGCCACTGTGTTCTCCTCTTGATTATTCTCCATCTCCTCTTGCGGGTCTTCATTCAGGTCATTTCTCTCCTGACAGGAAGAAGCTAGTGTCACTTGCACTTAAAAAATATTTCTGATTTGCACACTTTTATTATATTTGTTCTCCCAGAGTTGCTAACCAAGTCCATTAAACGCTTCAGGTTTACCAACTCTGAGTCATCCGAGAATACTACTATGCTTAAACATTTTCGATTTCTATTTCCCTTACAACTTTTGTGCTTTACAGTTTTGCTGATTTGAACAGTGTGTGAGTCTCCAGATTCAGGTATTGACTTTGCATATTGAAACAAGGGTGTAGCTTTTGAGGATTTAATATTCATACGCAAGCATTTAGGAGCTATGCCTGGTTGAATATTTCAAAAAGTTCTCTTATGGCTCAGTGTCTTTTTTCCCCTGCTCTTGCTTTCTTCCCTCCCCAGTCCTGCTCATTATGAAATGCATTGGTTGCTATGGAAACCGTGCTGTCATGTGTGGGTGGAGCTCCTCAGCAGAGTTCCAGGGAAGCAGTAGGAACCTGCGATGCTTGGAATGGAATGGTTGATTATCCAGAATGTTTGGGATACGTGGAATGTATCAACACGAGGCACAGTGGTGTATTGTCAGTAATGCAGCATTTGCTGACGATTGTTTTTTAGAAAGCAAGTTGCCTCATTTAGAATAGATTTCTATATGCGTGTGATATGTGCTCTTCAGAGACAGAGACTCCTGGTAGTGTCAGAAAACAAACAACAACAACAAAACCCCACATGGAACAGAATTAGACTTTGTGGAGAAATTTTGTTCTCGGAATAGAAGCAAGATCATTCCTCCATTACCATCACATACATGCAGTTTTGCCAAGAGAATGTGGAATGTAGTTGCCCTGCCCCAGGCCTGTCTCACGTCGGCACACCATATGGCTGAAGGGGAGGCTGAGATGGTAGTATTGAAACGCACTCATTTGAGAAATGTGATGAATTTTTATTTTGTGTGATTAGATTTGTTTCAAAGACTCTGAACTCCCTCCTGCAGTATGGTTTGTGAGATAGTTACCTTGGTAGAAGGTGTATCTATTAGGATACCTTAGGCTGCAAATAACAAAAATTGACACAGCCGGTTGAATCAGCCATGAAGATGGATTAAAGTCGGGCGCAGTGGTGCACACCTGTCGTCCCAGCTTGTGCAGAGGCTGAGGCAGGAGGATCACTTGCGCCCAGGAGTTCGAGGCCAGCCTGGATAACATAGTGAGACCCCATCTCAAAAGAGAAAAATGGGTTGGGGGAGGGATTAGTTTGCACCATAGTAAGTTTGGAAGTAGGGAGTTCTAATTTTAATTCATATTCTCAAAGATGTTATCAAAGACTGAAGTAGTTCCATCTCTCTGCGAAACTGTTCTCTGCTGATGGACCTGGGCCTCTGTCTGATTTCCCTGGCGGGAGCAAGATGACTGCCACAGTTCCATGTATCATGGCCACACTGTGGTGGAAGGAGGTGTCTCATCCTTGTGTTCCTTTAAGAATGAGAAAACTTTGCCAGGATTTTCTTCGTAGTTTACCCATCCTCACATCCCAGTATGTAGAACTGAGTCACATGCTTACCCCAAATCCATGATTTGCAAGGATTTAGACCAATCAGAATCACACAGGGTATAGGACACCTCTCCTGGGCACACAGCCATGTGAATGAGGGTCAGTGCCTAAAGCCAGCGCAGATCTGCCAGTTTGGATAAAAGGGGACACGCTGGTAGGCGTCTGACCCAGGAGACTTATGTTCTCCAGCTCTAAAGTCCCGAGATGACTTGGAGTCTTCCTAAAAAGTGTGCATGTACACACGTACACGTACATAGTCACACAGTGGTACCTATGTACACACACGTGCACACACACATCAGTGTCTCCATGCATTTTGGAGGAGGAGAGCCACTGATTGCAGGCAACGTGGATTCTGAACTCTGCAGTTATATTTTGCCTGGGCTCACAGCATGGCTTTCTTATCCTCCATGTGACCTGGAACAGGCTCCTTTGGGACTCTGTGCAGCTGATTCTTCATCCTCAGTGGCAGGGATGGCCACAACATTGATGCTGTATCAAGATAGCACTGGGGCTACTAGAAAAAGAGGGTTCTGAGTTGCTGCAGACGTATGGGGGAGAGGCTGCTGACCATGATGCCACACTGGGTACATCGTAGCGTGCCTCAGAAGAGGCTATGTTTTGAGCCAGGTTGTGTCTCACTCACGTTCTGTGCTCTGCAGTGCTGGGGTCTAGCTCTGTCAGGACTTTGCTGGCTGGGGCACCCCGGGTGTCTCAGGAGCTCCTCATTCTGTCCTTCTCCTAAGGCTGGCTACTTGGAAAATACCTTGTGGATGTGTTGACACCCTCTCCCTACCCAGGGATGTGAGTGTCTCATTTAATGTGAGCTACTTGTCTTGCAGGTGTCCCCCCTGATTCTTTTATAGCAGGGCAGATAACATAGTGGAAGGTGTTCAGAATCAACAGCATTAGGCTTACTGCTTAATAGGGACACTTCTTCAAAGGGTACAGTCGGTGTCAAGCCCTTAAGCAGAGTTTATCTGTGTGTGTGTTTGCGCCTCACATCTTCTGTGCATAGTTGATCTCTTAGCTAGTTAAAAGCAGGTGCTTGCCCAGAACATGTCTAGTGAAGCCCCTCCTTAAACAGCTATGGGGTCTTCCGGTCTGACAACTGACACCGAGAAGACAGACCGTCAGGTCATCTGACCACAGCTTCTGTGGAGCCAGGCAGTGCTCCAAGTGGCCACTCTAGACAGCTCAGCCCGCAGGAGTGCTGCTGGGAACGCTCCCTTTCTGCAGACCAGCAATACTTAGTGTCCCTGGAATGCCCAAGACATTCTTCCTATGTTCACTTATCCATGTGGAATCTTCCAGCCTCCATAGATGCTCTTGCAGTGCCATTCCTTTTTGTACCTCATACAGGCAATAAAGGAAATCGGTTTATGGCACCCAGTGGCCTTTGGAGAAAATAGACTCGAGGTCAGAGTGACCCCTGGGCAGCCTCGTCAGTAGTTATGCGGTTTGGGATGTGTGCAGCTCTGAGAAATCCTGACCCGGAGTGTGGTTGACACAGGGGTCTTTAGCAATTGTGTAGCTGCATGACTGTCCTTGTTCTTTGCTCTTACTGGGTGGGCCTAGACTTAAGTTATGCGTTCCAGTTCTAGGCAGAAGATGTGTTTCTTTAGTAGACTTACTAATGCCTAGCTGTTGCTCTGGGGCAATGCCTCCCAACCCCCACCCGCCCCCACCCCTTACCCCCAGGAGAGGGCTGCGTTTGTAAGGTCTCGGGGCAGTGATGTTGCTTTGATGGCCAGAGGGACTTTCCCTTTTCTCCGGGCCTGGGGAATCCTGGAAATAGGTTTTGCTGGTGACCACCCGCCAGTCCTGCTGTCCTTCCAGACAGGTGTGCTCCAGTCTGATGGGCAGTGGTTGCCTCCCCAGGGGCAGGGCTGGGAGGGTGCTGAGGCAGGAGGTTTCCAGGAGCGACCCCTCGTGGCAGCAGCAGCAGCAGCAGCAGCGGCGGGGCTGCTTTCCTGGCTGTCCCAGGCTCTTTGTCAACATCCACGTGTAGACGTCGGGGAGCAAGTGTGGCCCAAATTAATCCTTAAAAGCCTCTGGCGATTAAACTTGAAAGGTCTCAGATAGACACAGAATAATCCCTGGAAACCAACTTGGCATTATCCTGGAAAGTTGATCGCATATAGACCCCACAGCCCAACAGTTTCGTTGCCAGGTAGATTCCTAGCACAGGGGAATCTGAGAAAAAAATATTGAGTGAAAAATAAGTTCCAGGTGACTAGACATTATGTGCTTCTGGTTAAGCTCACACGTACACAAAATAAATGGGATATTATTAGGGGTATGGACTTGTGTGACAAAACTGAATTTTACCCATAGCCGTGATAAGATAGAGACATAGCATTCAAGCTACTGGTTGCCTCGTGGTGGGAGATAGGGCAGAGCCCAGGACGCAGCCTCCCTGTGGGTCCTGCGGCAGTTCTGAAGTTGAGTGTGGGTTCCTGGCGCTTACCATGTGCTGATGACACTTCAGTGATTTCAGTATTTGTCACACACATTGTCTACGTTATGCTGAAAACTGAGTCGGTGGAAGGGACCTGCTTCTCTCTGGTGCTACTTGGGGTCCCTGCCCCACACCCATCTTGTTCCCTCTTGTGGTCTAAAGGCTGTGAGGACACCGTGGCTGAAGCAGAGTGAGGCTCTTGGACTGAGACCTGCAGGCACGGGGAGGGTGCGTGGGAAATGACAGACACTGAGGCCACCGTGTTCTCCACCCGTAAGAATGGAAAAGCAGAGCCCTGTTGTCCGCGTAGACACTTCTCGGGGGAGGAGCGGTGTGATAAACTAGGAGAGGAGCCCCAGATGGGTATTTTGGGGTTCGATGCTACTGAGAGAGGTCAGATCTTCAGAGAGGGAGGGAGAGCCTGCCAGCCTCATCTGCAGCTGCAGAGCCACTTTTCCTGTGCTTGGGGACACCTTGCTGTTCATCTCCAGACCCTTCTAGCCCACCCCGCCCGCCGCTTGGCCAGGTCCACTTCCAAGGCTCTTGGATGCTATAGGATCCCCCATGATCACCTCTGTAAAGCAGTGACATCTCTCTCCCTACTGGCTTCTGCCTTCCAGGGAGGGGAGGGCTGGGGAGGTGGTGAATGGGGTTGTGGAGGCGTCTCTCTGGTTTGTTGGTTGAGGAGTTTTCCCCAATCAAGCCTCCTTTCACCTCCAGCGTTGTAGAACATCACCTTTTTCCTCCTCTGTTCATCCTGTCTTTTATTAATGCTGAGTCTGTGTTTGTGCAAGTGTGTGGTGTGTATAGGGGAGGAGGAGAAACAGTAAGCACGTGCAGGTGAGACTGTATTTGAGACTACCTTATTGCCTCCTCATAGCAGGTCCTGCAGGCTAAGTGCTAGTAACCCCGTGTTGCAGGTAACAGCTGAGCGAGGCCCAGGGGTTAATTTCCCAGGTGCACCCAGCTAGCCAGGAGTCTCCTCCAGGGCTCTGACTTGAGCCCTGGGCCCCTTGCCACTCAGGCCTCCACATTGTTACAACCCTGAGGGCCTCTTTTGCATAGAATCCAAAGCTTTTCCCTGATGGTGGCTGCATACTAGTAGCATTGCCGGCTGGGGTGTTTGGATGAAGTGAGCAGTCTCTAAAAATCCTGGTATGAAGAACAGTGTCAGGGTCAAGGTCATTGAAGGCATGAAGAAAGTGACTTGCTGCCAGATCACTTTGAGCACATCTCTTGTTTTGCTTATTCATTCATTACACAGATAATCATGTGTCTGACACTGTGCTAGGTGCCGGGTCTCATGTTATAGATGTTACATGCTCTCATAGTCTGGACTAGAAAAGAATGTCTCAGTGTATCTCTCCTATATGTACACGTATGCGTGCACACACACACAGGACATGCAGGGTGCATAACTGGGAGCCCCAACCTGGTCTGGAGCCAGGGGAGGAGTCCTGGAAGTGGGGGGATGCTGAAGCTGCTCTTTGAAGCATGAGTAGGTGCTGTCCAGGCATAAAGGCAGGGAAGAGCATTCAGGCCCAAGGGAACAGCTCCACGGAGGCCTTGAAGCCAGAAGCTTGTTGAATTTAAGGAAAGTGCAGGTGGTTAAGGGAATGCAGACAGGCAGAATGTGTTCCTGTTCATCCAGGGGAGGGAAGAACAAACAGTTACCCTGTTGCAAAGGACAATTAGAATTGGATTGTCAGTGTCTTCCAAACTGTGGGCAGCTATACCTTAGAGGACCGTGAACTCAATTCGCTGAGTTGCAATTAGCATTCAAAGAATAATACTTTTCTACACAAATCCATGGGGAAAAAAATAATAGAATACAGAAAGGAAGGCATTGCGTGTGCACAGTGAGGGTAAGAGTGTTGCTTCATGAAACTTGTGTGTGTTGTGGACGTGTATGCCTGTACTTGGTTTTTGATATGAAATTATTCTCCTGGGTTGTGATCGGAAGTCATCTTTCGAGTTGGTCTGCTGGAGTAGCCCATGCCTCCCCTTTCCTTTACGCCACGGCTGCCATGCCTTCACCTGACCATGATTGGGGGTTTGAGCTGGGGCCTGTCCACAGCTGGGGGTTATGAAATGCTTCTGTATTGCATTTCCGAACCCTGGTGAGGAGTGCTTGGACCTGTGCCCTTTGCTGTCCAGGCTGCAGTTTCCTCGTTAAGTATCACGTGAATATTTATGAACAGTCCATTGTGCCAGGCACCGTGCCCAGATGTATAAGGCTCAGGCTGCCTTCAGGAGTTCCCCATCCAGTGTGGGAGTCAGACCAGACTGTCAGAGGAGGAGGCATCCAATCAGGTCTCTAAATAGGAGGAATTACCCAGTGAAGAGGTGGGGGAAAGGCATTCCAGGCAGAAGGCACTGCACTTGCAAAGGCCTGGAGTTGCAGTTGGGATTTCTCTGGATGATTCACTGCAGTTGACATGCATGATGTGCCAGTGGAGTGTGAAGGGCTCCTGTAGGGGCGACCGGAGCCAGGTGCCAAGGGGCCTGTGTTACAGACCAGTAAGAAGCTTGGTTTGAGGCTGGGAGCGGTGGCTCACACCTGTAATCCCAGCACTTTGGGGGACCAAGGCAAGTGGATCAGCCGAGGTCAGTAGTTTAAGACCAGGCTGCCCAATGTGGTGAAACCCCATCTCTACTAAAAATACAAAAATTAGCCAGGCATGGTGATGCTTACCTATAATCCCAGGTACTCGGGAGGCTGAGGCGGGAGAATTGCTTGAACCCGGGAGGCAGAGGTTGCCGTGAGCCGAGATAGCACCACTGCACTCCAGCCTGGGCCATAGAGCGAGACTCCCTCTCAGGAAGAAAATACCAAAACAAAAACGCAAAAAGCTTGAGTTTGACTTTAAGCAGGGGAGGGATGTGATCAGCTCTGTATTCTAGATAGTTCACTGAGCATCTTTGTGCAGAGTGGGTTGGAAGGGACCGGACTGGAAACCGGGACACTGGTTAGGAAGCTGCTTTGGGACCGCGTAGATGAGGATTGTCGTGGCCAGTGCAGGGAGGCAGAGCCTGTCAGTGACCCTGGTGCAGACTTTGTGACCCAGCATCCCAGAAGTGGCCCCTGTTCTCTACTGGCCACTCCCTGGTTGAGCTTTTAAGTGAACACCCAGGAGGCAAGTACTTGGGGGGCATTTTGTTAAGGTGATTTTTCTCTTCCTTTTCAGTACAAACCTCCAGGGAGCCTGGCTGGCTAGAGGGGACTCTGAACGGCAAGAGGGGGCTGATTCCACAGAATTACGTCAAGCTGCTGTAGCTCCTGGACGCAGAGCCCCTGCTGACCCTGGCACCTAGGGACCTGCCTGGGGGCAGAGAGCCACCTTCCTCCTCCGAGGCTCTGGGCTGCACCCACAGGTACCTCCACACTTGGGAGTTACCATCATCACAATCAGCCTTGGGGGTGGGGGGTGGGCGGGGATGGGAATGCACCGCACTGAACTGTGATTGTGGATCAGGAGGGGGAATGTCAGGATTCGCAGAATGGACTTTTCATTTGTCAAGTATCGGGACTTGTGAGTTTTAATTATCCAGCATATAGAATGAGAGGGAGGGCAGCCTTCTGCCACCCGTGTCGCCCCCACTGGCAGTCACGTCACCAGAGCCACCCTGGCTCCCTCTCCTCCCCGAGCACCTGCTGCTGCGATGTTAAAGGGAACTGTGCTCCTCACAGCGATAGGTCTGCAGAGCGCATGCCTGGCTCCGGCGGCCTGGCTGCGAGAGGCTGCTGCTGGTGCGGGGGAGATGGTCCCAAGCCAGAGGGAGGCAGAGAGACGTGCTTCTCCAGCCTACTCTTCCTAGACGGCCACCTGCAGGACCCCACGTCACTGCACTGGCGGCGTGCACTGGCATATTTGTAACAGGCTTCTCGGTGCTCCTCACCCATGTGCTCTTTTCCAAACACCACCTTTTTGCCTCAAGGTCTCTGTAAATGAAATAAACTGTAATTTACTATTTGATTTGTCTGTCCTAATGTGGGGAAGTGGTTGTGGAAGTCATTGCCCTGTCTTGATTTATGAATTGGCAGCCTGCGATGGGACTCGTCTCTCTCTGCTGTTGGCGTGCTCACAGGTGGAATCTGTTAGCGGGGAGCCTGGAGTATTCGCAGTGAGGCGTGTTCCCGGGGGCAGCGGCAGCCTCTGATGTGTGCAATCCTGAAAGGGCATTCACATCTCCTCCAGTGGCTGCACAGGCCTCTCTACCCTGGTGCCTGCAGGACCTGGAGCAGGGCTGGGGCTTTGGCCCTGGGTGGTTGGTGTGAGCTGTCTCAGTGCCCTGGGACCAGCCCTTCTACCAGCACCATTGCACACCCTTACCCCACACCTCCCAGCATGCCTCTGCCTTCCAGGCCTCCTTGCTAATCTCCATCTGGATTAATTTCAGTGTTGAGGGAGGAGAGGGAGGCAGAGCAGACCTTCCCGGAGGAGCCTTCACCCTTGACCCTGCCCTACCCCATGCTGATGGCCACCCCCAGCATGGGCAGGCCTTGCTCTGACGCTTCCTCATTCTCCTCCACCTCCAAGCCATGGGGTGCAACAACATCTTGAGGAAGAGGGGACTTCCCTTGGAATGTGGGGCTTAGTTTTAGTGGCCCCAAGATTCTGAAGCCAGCCCCATGCCCCAGAGGCTGCTCTGGGGCCAGGCATGTCTTTCCACGCATCCCCATAGGAGGTTCCCGGACCTGTCGGACTTCTCTCAAGCATTTATCAAAGGACAGATGTGTCTGTTGCCTCATCCCCAGATGAACTGACTCAAGAGCTTGCCAGTTAACATCTTGGAAGTCACCTCACGTGGATGACGTGAGGGTGTGGAGTTTGGGAGTCGTATGTGTATGGGGAAATGTGCTTCTTGAAAAGTATCCATATTGTAAATGAAAATAAGGACAATTTCTATGCAACATAAGTTAAAATAATCACGTGCCCAGTGAAGAGCATTGAGACCGCAGAGGAGCCCAGGGCCGCCCTACCACAAGCGGGCCTGAGGCCTGGGCAGGGGCTGGCTTTGCCTGGGGCTTGGGCAGCATAACTTCGAGGAGCCTGTTTTCTGAGTTGTCGTTGCTGCCCCGACTCGTTGCTTGGGATGTAGAAGGGAACTTGACTCGTGAGAAGAGGTTGCTGGCATGTTCCACTTCTGTGAGGGCCCCTCTGCAGGCAAAGGCAAACCTGTGGGCAGCTAGAGCAGGCTCAGGTTAGTGTTGGGAGTGGCTTCCGGGCAGATTCCTAATTGGTCTATCCCCAGGGGCCATTAAAACTAAAACTCCCCGCACCAGGTCTTGATTGATTTGTTTGCTTGCCGGAGATTCCTATTGTTAACAGTGAGATGCACCCAACCTGCCATTCCCCTCAAAGTGCTTTTACCCCCACTTAAATAAATCACCACCAAGTTTGGCTATCTGTGTGACCTTGGGCAAGATCAGTCAGCCCCATGATTCTGTTCCAGCCTCCTAAAAATAAAACGATCCTGAGAAGTTTGGGGTTGAAATGACCTAATAGAAGCAGCGCACCCAGTATGTGGGGAGTTCTTGGCTAATAGGAACTGCTGTTCCCATTTGTCTTACTCCTATGAATAAGAACAGCAGTATCTTGCATCTTTGTCATCAGGGCCTTCTGTGTTCCTTAGATTGATGGGGTGACAAGTAGGGAAGTTCTAAAACTGTGCCCTTTGGAGGCTCCTATAGCCTTAAGAGCTGAAGACCCCTCCTGTGGCCCTCTGGAGAAGAGTGGGGTAATGCCAGAGGGGAGCAGGGGTGTTTCTGTCTGAGAATGTGACACGTGCACAGCAGTGTGGCCAGGACTGCCAAGGCCTCTGGGCAGGGAGCTTACCCCTGGACATGGCCCAGGATGTACTGAGGAGCGGGATCAGGAGGTGTTTTCTTACTTTGGTGGATTATCTTCCTTCCCCTAGAAGAGGAGTGGAGTATGTTTTGCTGTTTTAGCTGGATGGGTGCGGCTGCTCCCCAGGCTCTGCTGAGGCTGCCTGGCCTTCCTTCAGCCCTACCTTGCTCAGCTCCTGCAGCACCAACTGCAGCTGCCTAGACCAGGTCCATATCCTGTGTTCATTCAGAGGCACTTTGGTGGTTTGGGGCAAAAAGCACTCAGGCCATGCGTTTCTTGTTGGCACTGGGGCTGCAGGGCTTGCATCTGATGGTGCCACCCACAGGGCCTTCCCTGGTGTTCCCCACATCTGTAAAGGAGATGCCAGGTGAAAACAGAGCCAAAGGACTTGCAGGGGCTGCAACCTCACCCTCTTTCCTTTGTAGTATCAGCCACACCTGCGGTTGGGGATATGGAAGGGAAAAGCAATGGGTATCCATGCCCGAGATGGATGTCTAACTCATTCTTTCCTTATAGTGACTGCACAAGCCAGGGGATATTAGCCCATTTTATGGATGAGAAAATAGAGAAGGAGCACTTGCTTCCTCAGGTTCAATAAGCTAGTCACATGTTCTTTCTGCTGTGCCATCTTGTCCTCAGGGCCATGCTGTTATGAGTCGAATTGTTTCCCACTCTCCAAATTCATATGTTGAAGTCCTTAGCCCCCAGTCCCTCAGAATGTGACATCATTTGGAAATAGAATCTTTGCAGATGTCACTAGTTAAGCTGAGCACAGTAGGGTTGGCCCTAATCCGATATGACTGATGTCCTTAAAACAAGGGGAAATCTGGACACTGAGAGACTCGCACAGAAGAAAGATGACATGAAGAGAAACAGGGAGAAGATAGCCATCTACAAGCCAAGGGGAGAGGCCTGGAATAGACCCTTCTTCACAGCCCTCACTGAAGGAACCAACCCTGTTGACGCCTCCGTCTTGGACTTCCAGCCTCCAGAACTGGGAGAAAATGCATTTCTGCTTAAGGTGCCCAGTTTGTGGTCCTTCGTTACAGCAGCTCTATGAGAATAAGACAGTGGTGAAAAGTGCATGTTGCATTACAGACAAGCTGTTTTGAAATCTTATTTTTGCTATTTTATATCTTGGTGACCTCTGGTAAGTTACTTGACCTTTTTATGGTTCTGTTTGTGCCTGTGAAATGGAAAGAGGAGACGCAACCTGTGGGATGTGACAGTTAAATGAGAGTGAATGTCCTGTGCTGGATGGGTGCGTGGTAGGAAGTGGGGTTTAGTAAATGGAGATGACTGGAGAAGGCAAGGGGCAGGGCACTGTGGCCGTTGGGGGTCGGTTTCTGTCCCGCTTCTCATCTCTAAATCTCCACCTGCTTCCTGCCAGCATCTGTTCTGCAAAAGCCATTCCTGCTCTTGTCCTTTGCCAACGTTGCTCAGCCTCTCCCCTCCTTCCCAACACCACTCTCCACTATCCACTCCAGGCTCCTGCTCTCTTGGGCTTGCCTTTCTTCCCATTCACCTCCAGGCTGGGCATCTTCTCACCTTCTTAGGGGTTCTCCCAGTCTCTCAAAACCAGTCCCGGTGACCCCTTCCTTGGCCAGATATTTTCCACGACTTCTCGAATCTTCTTGAGCCACATGGCTTTCCTCTGTCCACTCTGAGGATGCTATTCCAGGAGCGTGTCCTCGAACAGCTGTCCCGCTCCTCGTTCTGCAAATGTCTTCTCAGTTGCTTCTCAGCACTCTTCCTCCTTGACTGGCCTGAGCAGTAATTTATTGCTACCTCATTTGGGCAGTTCAGCGCATTCTAACGCTGAAATCTCTAGCTGAAAGTATCTCAACCTACTGGTTAGAATACCTTGGAAAACACTATCTGAAGATCAACTTGATTGGAAAGACTTCTATTTTTGGCCCAACAAGGGACCTGCACTTTAAATTTGGGCAGTGAATGCATGGCAGCTCAGGGCTATGCATTGGTGTCTGGATTTCTTCTTCCTTGTGGAGTTTAGCACCTAAGGAAACACTGCAAGGTGGAGCAGCTCCCATGCTGGGAGCAGTAGGATCAGACCCAGCCAGGCCAGTTTTCACAGGTGCTGCCATCCACCCTCAGTCAGGCTGGCTCAGGGCATGGAGATCCATATAAACGGGTTTTTCAGACTAGGGAAAACTTGGAAACCACTGTCTTGGCAACATACATGCTGCAGCAAAATACCTGAGTAACTACTAGTGGTAGACATTTAAAAATCCCCTCCCCAAACCGTGCCCTTTTGTGGAGCCCTTTCAGGCTGACTCAGGGCTTCACCTCACAACTTGCTTTGGCCAATGGGGTAGGAGCAAACTTGATTCAGTCAGAGGCATGGAAAGTGTTATATGCCTTTCCAGGGTCTCTTTTAGAGCCCTGGCTTTGCCATGAAAATAAACCCAGGCTAGCTTGCTGGAGGATGAGAGGCCGCATGGAGCAGCACCACTGCAGACCAGACAGCTGCAGGCTGACCACGGAGGTACAAACAATCCCAGCTCAACCGAGCCTGGCTCAGGTCAGCACACCCCAGCCTGCTTCTCCAGCTGACTCATAGACTCATGAGAAATAGTCAATGGCGATTGATCTAAAGCAGTGGGTTTTGGGATGTTCTGTTGTACAGCAGCAGCTAACTGCCTGCCACTTGGCCCCATTGTTCACTTTGCTTTGGACAGTCTTGGTCCATGATCAGTGTTGAGATCATGCCTTACCCAGTGTTTTTTGGGAAGCTACTGTTTTATTTCCAAGAAAATTGCTACAGTAGCAACTGGCTGACTTGAAATTAAAGTGCCAGAGATACTTGTAATCAAGTCATTTTAATCTGTGTACATTTGCAGAGTTTATAAAAAATACATTAGAGCTGATTTGTACATAAAGGGACAATGTTTTCTATTTGCTTGGGGGGAATTCAGCACACAGAAGCAAACAAGCCTCTAAATACATAGGCATCACTGGGCATATTTTTTTTTTTTAACTGCTCTGGCATATAGTGGCTGGCTGTCTCCGTGGCAGAGACTAGTTCTTAGCTAATGATTCCTAACTGTGGGCTGAATTCTTTTGGCCTGAGAGCTCTTCTAGAGATTGTTAGAAATAGTC